TTTGACTATTTTCAACCAGGTCTGTGTGACCGTATGTGGGGCGTGTGTGCAGATGAAAGGTGTCAGGGCGCCCCCTGTGCAGCCAGCTTCTCGAGCTCCCTGCGCGTCCAGCCAAAATCCACCGGATAATGTGAAACATATCACCGATGACCTGAAATGAACTGTTTCTAGTAATCCAGCTGATTTTTGCTCACGGCATAGGCGGGGAGTCAAACACTCTTCATCTGCACACACTCCCCACACTGTGGTGACTCAGACGTGGTTGAAAATCAGCATAGTATCCCTTTAACAAGGCAATGAAGTTAGTGTTGAGTAAAAGAGAAACTCCTGAATTCGGAGGGTATGGTCAAGGTAGACAGACTGACGTGTAAACAAACAAAAGGAAAGAAGTTAAAGTGAATCTCGACTTTATTGGATAATAATGTCATATAAATCTGTTATGACTGGAGTCTCTATTTACAATGACCACCAGAGATTGACCTGTCTGTTGAGCTGTCTGGTTAAATAACATTCAGAAACATCTCTGCTGTATGAAAGTGGTATCGGGGTGTGTGTGTGTGTGTGTGTAGGCAGTATTTCTGACCTCCAGGGGAGAGAAGTCATGGTTAACCAGGAAAGCCAATCCACCAACAGGTACAACCAGGAACTCCACTCTGAATGTGTCGTGGTTCCCATCATAAGTTGCCTTGAACTTCATGTAGATCAGGTACACAGTGGCATACGCACACCCGATGTAGATTATCTGAAAAACACAGACAAAACATGAAAGACACGTATTTTCTTATTCCACTGTGTACGGAATGTCATTAATACAGTCAAGCAGCAACGTCACATTACATCTTGCTATGCACCGTCATCCTTTAGCAAACAGGTGTGTCGGCTTGGGGTGCTAGTTTAGCCTGAACACTGCGTGTTTAGTCAGTGCTACAAGATATGACAATGAGGAGCAATGTGTGAGTGTTTCACCTTCATGGTGGTGTTGTAGAGAGAGATGAAGGAGGTGAGCAGGTCCAAGTAGCGAGTGGTAAACACCAAGGCAAACAGGACCTGACTCTTTCCGGAAATGCCTGTGAGGAGACAGCAGAGGGCATTCAGACAGTTTAACATCCCAGACATAGGTTTATATCGAGCTTCTTGGCATTTAAATGGATAGTTCTGTCATACTGTCATCTAGAGGACAATCTCTCCATCCAGACAGCTTTGATGCCTCTTTCTTATGTTTTAAGGTATCAGCTATAGCTCACTCTGGTACAACACAAAATTACATTTGGTTTGCTGTTCTTAAACTTTACCACAAACTCAACACACTGCCCCACATCTCTGGTACTCTCTAACCAACATATGCCTGCTCACTTTATCTCCCAACACAACTTTCTATTGATTCACAATCCAATATTCACTTCCTATATTATATAGATTCTTTGCATCTATATAATAAAGGATCTATATGATTTTTGCTGAAATCACAAAGTCTGCCATGATGCAATTCAAGAGCCTGCGATCAATAAAGGCGTACCTCAAAGATGACGATATGAATCGATATTTTCACTTTGCACCTTTTTTTTTTTAACCCCAATTTCGCTTGCTTCAGAAAAAAAAAACCATGACATTGTACACTGGTACACCAGCAGCATAAGCAGTCACTAACTTAGCTTTAGTTGCATTTGCAAACATTCCAAGTGCACAGATTGACTTAACTATTTGGTGTCTTTAGAAGGGTGATGGGGCTCAGGAAGCTTTTACTATTTTTCATACAAAGTTCATACATACATAGTTTATTCAGCCAGTCTTAATTTAGTTATGGCACTAATTACTTAATACATTTTTTTTTAATGCAAAAAATTTCAGGCTTTTTGAGAGCCCTCTCCCACTGGGGGCTTAGGCGATCAGTCCCACTTTTCCCCTCACAATGATACCCCTGGTCTCCACAGTCTTCATCCGCACCTACACTTGTAGCAAGCCTCTCTGTTTATTTGGTGTGTTGGCAAATGACAACATGTTCCCCTCAGTTACACCCACTGTCACACTAGGAAGGGGGCGTCATCAGCGATCACTACACTAACAATAGCTAAACATAGTAGTGCTACCAGTTATAATACATATATACAGCATTAGATGGTTTGATTCTGGTGCTGACACGCAAGTCTGATATGCAGCTGTTCAGAACAGTAGGGTTTCAACAAGATTGAGTCGTATGAAGACATTTAATCTCAAGCAAACAGCAGTAATGACACAACTCAGATGACTGTGTAGCGGAGATACAGTCCTAACCTTTGATCGCATGAAAACACAGCTAAGTTTCGTCATGATAACACAACATGCAGCTATTAACTATTCTTGCAACCCTACTGAGCAAAAGCATGTACCCAGTCACTGATTTTGCATCTCCAGTTGTCAGCTAGTGAGCACTCAGTGCTGCCACGTCAGAGAGATCACACTGGGCTAAGTTAACGTATGGGAATTACAGGGGGCCGGCGTGAAACGTGAAGCTAGCACAGGTTTCCCCAACAGTTGAAAGGACGAGGCCCAAAATGCCAAACTGACAAATGCTGTGGCCCTCTGGTCCCCTGGTCCCTAATGTTACCTGACGTTACTGCGGGGCCCGTTGCACTGTCGAGGTTAGCTAGCAACAAAGCCGCCGCTAGCTGGACTTTACAGGTGCTTCCTCCCGATATGAGCAATAATTAAGTTTTACGTCGCACCTCGTCATGTTTGAAAGAGTGGCAGTCTCAGAAATGACTAGCTAACGACAGTGTTACTAGCCAGCTAGCTAACGTTAGCCGAGAACTCGCTAATGAGCTTCAACTATAGGAGAAGTTTCACAGTAGAGACATTTTACCATCTAGTTAAATTGTACATTTACACAACTGCACACATTATATGCAAACCATGGGTTCAAGCAAACTGTGAGTAAAGATATGTGACTACTCACCGGCACAGGACCTGGTTTTCCATATTTTTAGCAGCAGGATGATGATGGCTGCTAGGTGGGAGAGATCGCCGGTTAGCCTAAAAATGTTCATGTTTGCAGGAGCTCCAGTGGACGTAAAGCAAATTAAGTCTCTATAAAGAGCTCAGTTCGTCTGCGTTAAAGATTAATTGATACCCTGACAGTGTTGAGTGACACCGTGACACTAGAATAGACTGAATCTGGCTTCAGAAGATGGGAAAATGGCGAGCAGAGCGCGACGTGGCTTGGGGACGTGGCCAAGACAACAGTACCCAATGCAAGACGGGAAACCTTCGTGCGCTCAGCCAATCAGAAGACAGGGATGCCTGATTAGTATAATTTATGCGCTATGAATGCTGCCTCCAAGCTCCGTGGAAAATACTGTAAATCCGAGTTTCCTCTGTTAGTTCCTAGGTTGCCATTTACAGGGAAATGCACCAGGAAATTCATCTCGGCTATGTGGAGAGAACACTCGACGTTACATGAACTGTCACATTTTAATTTAAACTAAAAGAGAACTGCTGTTTTATCAGAGAAGTGTCAATGTGTTATAGCAGGAAACCACTAATGTACTTCCACCTTTCTGGTTTGTGGCTGATTTCGCAAGTGTGAATTTGTTGGGCTGAGCTCGGGGTTGAAATATTTTTTTTTGTACACCTGCCACTGTGGCTGGTGGAAGCCAAAATTCACCAGTCACTCAAGAGTATCGTTGTTTGTTTGTTTGTTTGTTTGGTGAGGCTGGTGAGTGGAGTAGATTCAGCAGCCACCTGCATATTATTCCAACAACCCTGGCTGAGCTCTACAAAACCTTATTTAGCCACTGAGCTCAGTGTTCAGGTGAAACTCTCTACTCCTGTACAAAAGTTAAAGGTCCAATGTATAGGATTTAGGGGGGTATATCAGCAGAAACTGAATATATTATTGATAACTTCGCTTTTGTTAGTGTATAATCACTTGAAACAAAGAATCATTGTGCTTTTGTTACCATAGAATGAGGAGTTTATATCTACATATAGAGCGGGTCCTTTTCCACGGAGTCTGCCATGTTGTTTCTACAATGCAAGCTCCAGATAAGACCATCTGCGTTCAAGCATTGGTCACCATAGTTCTCTGATACGCTTCACACACAGGACAAGTTTCAGTTGGCTGCAATTTGCAACATCACCACTAGAGTCAAGATAAACGGTGTGTTCCAATACCCATACTCCCATACTACTTCGTATATGAGAAAAATATTTAGTGTGTTCTGATATGCAGTATGTCAAATGCAGTATGCCAAAAATACAAGTATGTCTTACTACACCTGGTCACATTTTGCAGTATGCAAGCCAGCATGCTTTTCTGACTATTCTGAGCCACAATCCTCTGCATAGTGGAAGATTGTTCACAGTGACTGAACTGCAAACATATGACAGCTTGACAGCTCACTGACAGCTGTCAAAAGCCACAATGACAGTGCATTCAAGTGCCTGATGACCAGCTGAATAGTAATAATAGGAATATGAATTGTTTAAATGAACAAAATAATCATAAAGATTACCAACAATAAAATTATATACCTTTGAAAATAACAATGGCAGAGAAATGCAAATGTAATTTTACTGCTGTGAATATGTTAGAATCTACAATGTATGCAAGTATAACCTAAAACTACATAGACTGCAAAGTAACAACAGCAGAGTTCTCCAGGAAAGCTCAGTGAGTGCCATTTTGTTTTATCTCCAAGTAACGGATATATGAGAAAGAGGGTCAAAGTTCTGGGTGCAACGGTATAAAGTAGTAGTGTGTCTTGATTGTGTGCATACCGCATCCAACAGTACATCCTTCTTTAAGGGCAGCTGCAGTACCTACCAAAAGTAAGTATGTACCTTATTTGTGTGGGATCCCTGGAACTCCCGTAGGGTTCGTGGGAGTCCCTTGAATTCTTGAGCAACTGCTATAAACTCACTGTATTTCAGACTGACAACTCAGAACAGTATCTAAGCTCGTATAACTAATTACACACACATTTATTCAGTGCTGTGGACAAATGACAGCTGAGAAATGCAGATAATGTATTTGTTTTTTTATTTCTGAATTCCATACAACACTCTTTCTTTCAGTACAAATATTGCATTAATTGTGTCACATATTTAATCGTCCATTGTGCAGCACTGATTTAAAGCGAGACCATGTAACTTTTGAAAGGTTAAATTATATCTTTCTCTTACAAATGAAGAGTTGAATTCATAAACAATAAAACACAATGTGTGTGACTGACACAGTTTGGCAGCTTTATGGCTTTTACTACTTGTGCTACAGTTACACTATGTTTGAGCCTTAAAGCTGTACGAGTCAGTATTTTTTATATTTACAATGGGCCATATGATTACAAGGAATGTGAAAAGGGTCGCTCATAGTGACAAAGTCACAGGGTATTACCACCCAACTTCAGTCCCCCTCAGCTCTACAGAGCCTCAAAGTCTGTTTTGGGTCATTGTTTTAACTTTTCCGGCACGCCAGGAAAACTGCCAGGCATTTAAGCCAAATGTATCTAATGGTCAAACGTGTAATTACAACTTCTGGGTCTGTCACATGATGCCATTATGCCAAAAAGACTTTCCTATAGACTTGCATTGTAAAAGAGACGTCTGTTAATCAGTGGAAACATTTTTGGGGCATCACAACCCCAGCAAAATGGCTCATTTCACTATCAGGATTCAATCAGTTCGGTCCGATTACATTTTGAGAGTCAGAAAGAGCTGCAGGATTAAATCATTTCCACCCTCATTCAAGTAAGTGGAGAGCTAAACTGGAAGAGAGCTGCATGGTTGGTGAAAATTAGCCACTCGGCTGCCGTCAGTCTCTCATGCTGTTCCACTATGGGCCCCCAAGATGAGTAAGATCCAGGTAATTTTTATACTGTGCAAATTAAGCTTTTTTTTGGCTTCATATTCCACCGAGCAACTTTCATGAAACTTAATGAGGCACCACCTCCCTTCCAGTTCTCTTTAGATGTCCATGGACCATAGACTGTATAAAAACATGGATGACAAAACAGTTCCCAAAATTGAAGCCAAAACAGCAAGTCTCTTTCTGTTAAGTTTGGTTTTAATTTGTATTTTGATGCGATAAAAAGGGGTATGACATCATGATTGACAGCTTTGTGTGCCAATTAGTGCACTTGCATTCTATGGCACTGCTTGCAACTGGGTCGGACGGTGTACGGACAGGAACTCAAAAATCTTGGCTCCACTTCCTGACCACTACTGCGCAGACTCTGGCTCCAAATGATGTCACCAGTGCAAGATATTGTGCCAGTATCCATGATATTTTATGTTAATTTTTGTAGTGTGAGGAAGTGGCGACATGTCGTCCATCTTTATACAGTCATTGGTGGAGACCAAGTGGCCAGAAACACAATTCCAATGAGTGCTAATGTTCCTCCTGTATGTGTACAAGACATGTACACAATTGTTTGCCAAGATGAGAATACATCAGTGTTGTATTTTCAAAATCAATGAATGCAGCTTTAAATTATTCAGTAAGAACCACTCAATATCTGCTGTTTAACATAAGTTACATCGGCTCGCTTTAAGAAGGCTTCATATTACTTTTGTTTTCACTAATAGCAGGTAAAAAAACAGCAATAAAATATAAAAGGCCCAATTCAGAATGGCTGAATCAATCATGTGCATCCACTGATCCTTTGCATCAGAAACTGAATTAATTAAAGTGCAAATTCAACCATGATTACTACCACTGATAACTGAGAATGATGAAACACTAACAGTAAACACTTCCCACAGATAACAGACTTTACAGTACGAACACCTACAGCATAGTGATATGTCTTAGAGGATGTGATCCTCAGTGGCATTTCAACGTAGGCAAACTGCCCTTCAGGTATTTTTTGCTTTACAAGTCGAGGTATCACTGTCACACAAGATGGCTGGTAAATGTAGGAACTACAGTACAGTACCTGAGCTGACTCACCATTTTCTAAAGAAACACTGTCAGTAACACTGTGTTTTATGAATGGAGCTTATGGAAGTTGCACAAAAATCCATCCAGGAGCAACCTACTGAGATATGAGATTAACAGAGTAACAGCCTCTGACAATCCCACAGTGCGTTTGGTATTCAAGCAGACTCTGACCCATTCTCTGAGATCTTAAGAACAAAAACTGCATCATCAAGAACGTAGTAATCGTTATACATGTCCCCTTCACAGAGGTATGGCAACCGGGTCACAGCCTCCAACTCAAACCCTGCCCTTCGGAAAACCTCATTGGTCAGGTTGGTTACTTGCTCCTCCCATGTTTTTCCTTTTATTTTTATATGTTCTTTGGGACGCTGCCATCTTCCCCCTGGGAACAAATACAGAGAGAAGGTTTTTATATTTGGATCATAGAGAAGTCTATGACATCATATACGTATGAGGCAAGTTGTTCTCATTCACAACTGACCGACTTCCACGTAAGGCTGGAAGGGAAGCACTGCAGCCAGGATTAGTCTTCCTGTGTTGGGCACTAGCGATAGCCGGATGTCTCGCAGGAGAAGCAGAGGGTCGTCACAGCGATCCAGCAGGTTCAGACAGCTGATCACATCATACTGGAAACCAGTCTGTTGCCACTCATCTATACCCAGTACCCTAAACATGACAGATAAACAGTGTTCTTAGGTTGCAAACGCACCAGACTTAAATAAACATTTTAGCATCATAAAACACACTTTATCCAAAGTCAACAAAAACAAATAAACCTCACAAAAACCATCCTGGCTCATTATTCTACTGTCCCAAAAATCACAACTCTGGTTTGGTTGAAATAAACACTTAATTCACTCAGTTTAATGTAATAATTTTCTGACTCTATACATGCTAAAATTACTGTTTCTTCAAATGGAGTCTGGCTGGTTTGCTGATATTGATTATGTTGCTGTATTATGGAATTAGTGCCGTGGGATGTATCACATTGAACTGAGATTTGAGTTTAAATCTTAACAGTCCTGTGATTTTACTACTCACTTGTAATTCCTCCTCTGAAGATGCCATTTCATGGGTATTGAGACCTCAGTTGCATAGACCTCTTTGAAGTGGACTCCCATCACGTCTGTGACGCCTCCGTCCCCAGCTCCGAGGTCCAGGAGCCTCTCAGCCTTCCACTCCGGGCCGATCCGGAGTAGCCGCTGGAACTGCTCCGCAGAAAACACAAACATAGAGCCACGACCCAGGAACCTGAAACGGAGAGCACATCAAAGGAAGGCACACTACAGGTGAAACGGAGACACGTGTGTCTGTACTACTCACCCATTGATAGATGTACGCGAGACCAGTGGGCTGAGGACTGTTGATACAAAAGAGTGGTAGAGCTGGGTGAACATCCAGCCCGACTTCTCAACGCTCCGCTTGAGAAAAGCCTTGGTGGCTGAATCCAGGTGGCTTTGGACAAACAGGGGTCGCACTGATTCCCCAAGCAGGTCAGGACCACACTGGTACCACTAGAGCCACAAGGAAAAGGACAATTCAACTTGAAGACAAAGAAAGATATTAAAGGTCCAGTGTTTAGGATGTAGGGGGATATATTTGCAGAAATGGAATATAATAAGTATGTTTCTTTGGTGTGTAATCACCTGAAAATTATTTCTCATTACCTTAAAATGAGCAATTTATACCTACATAGGGAGCGGGTCCTCCTTTATGGAGATTGCCATGTTGTACTGCCATGTTTCTACAGTAGCCCTGAGCAGGCAAACCAAACACTGGCTCTAGACAGCGCCATTTGCGTTTTCATGTTTTTCTTTTTTATGGTGGTGAAGGCCCGTCTTTAAACATCAAACTGTTTTATTCAGTGTTTACCAGTTTAAATCACCAGATCCATTCATTTTCAAGAGGAAGAGACCTCTGCAGATAATTCGGCTCCCCATAAATACCTCCTGAATATCATGATCTTAAGTTACCAGAGAGAAAAGGTAAGCACACATTAGTAGGTACTGTGCTGGCGACCTGTCTCCATAATGCCAAACACCCTCAGAGAAACATGAAACTGATTTATTAAGTATTTTTACTGGTTTAAATAACAGAGTTTGTTTGTTTTGAGCTGAGGAGACCTGTGGATAGTTTGGTTCATATCATGTTCTGAATGTCTGGATCAGAAATAAGGTGAGCACACTCTAACTTGTTAGAGTAAATAAGTGAACACACTTAAGCAGGTGCTGCATAGGTGGCCTGTCTATGACACGCCAAATAGCATAAAGAATAATTTATAAGGTGAACCTGCTTTATTCAGTGTTTTTACCAGTTTAAATCACAGAGTCAGTTTGTTTTGGGGAGGACGAGGCCTCTGTGGATAATTCAGCTCTTGGTAAAAACCTCCAGAACAATGAACACTTAAGTAATCCTAACTGGGAGAAGTTTCAGCTGGTTGCAATCTGCAGTTCTCACTGCTAGATACCAGTAATCCCCGAAATTTTACACACTGGACCTTAAAAAAGAATTCACAGAGAAACTTGGAGACTTGGATTGGATCTAGTTCCTCAACACCTTCATCTTCATTGCTTTAATGTGAATCAAACCTTGCATGTAGGCTTATCTTGTAGCTTCATACATATTTTCCTTTTATTAGATGCACTTTGTTTTGGGTGACTGAATGATTTTCTACATCTATAAACTATACGTGTACATTCATATCAACTAAAAACCCCTTTGATTTTAATCTGCCCCCCTCTTTTTTTGGATTGCCTGTGCCAAATTCCATTTCCAACCTCTGTAGTTTGTTAACTGGAAAAGATGTACATCTATGAGTCTAGTCTTTGCAAGTGAGTTGACTGTACTCTGTCCTTCAAAAACTCTAACCATGCAAGTTCATCTACCGGACTCATAATTAAAGATTCATACCTCTTGTGTCTCATACGCGGCCGCTTCGTTCTCGGTCACCATGTTCATAAACAATGAGCGGACTAGCGGATTCCGGGCGTACTTCCCCGTCCACATTCTCCTGACGGAGAGCAGAAAGGCGACGTAACCAACCACCCACGCTACAAATACCAAAGTCCTCAGCTGTAGATGACACATAATGGACAACAACCCTGAGAAGGAATGCTGACAGACAGCTGGTTGCAGTCTTGAAGAAGTGAACAGACTGCCCAGTGGATAGCACTGGGGTGCAGTTAATATTAGATGATTAAGGAGGTAATGGCAGCCAATTGTAAACCAACACGCCAGAGCATGTCTCCAGTTCCAAGACAACAAACAAACAAACCTGAGGGTGCGGTGGTTTTAAGAAAGCCGGCTGCTATTTACCCGCCATCTTAATCTTGTGCTTCCATTGTCTTAAAATGTGTTAAAAGAGCCCAGGTTGTGTTTTACTTGTGTGGTCTCTGCCCATTATGACTATAGACGTATATACGATTATGACAACAAAAACTCACTTCCGCATATTCTGCACTTCCTGAGTCACCGCTAAATGTGTCCCCGGAACTATCCAGACGCTTTCCTGCTGTTTGGCTGTAACTGCAACCTTATCAGTCATTGTCATTGCTTTTGTTGAGAGCTCAGAATGTGTGAGGCCGAAATATGCATCACATTTCTGAGAGGACATTTAGCAGTCGTGTTTTGCGGAAATAATTCATTTGTGGCCTCGGTCCATAACTTCTAAAATATAAAGCTAAATAACATTTAGGTTTGAGAAAGTTTTTCTTTTATATCCGTAACGTAACATATTCAACAAAGACCTGACCACTGAAAATATTTATAATATCATCTTGGGGGTGAAGTGCAGGAGTAAATTCTTGCTGTTATCTCTGTTATTGTGCACAGGTATGTCCCTGGACAGTCCCCCTTTGGTTTACTGTAACGCCTCCCTGTTATTTGCCATATCTGTTAAGACATGACACGCCAAACTCCATTCTCAGTTGGTAAAGTTAAGGCATCATTTCCTTTTTCCAGACGTACATGACTCTTGAAATAAAACCCAAGGACTGTCTTAAACAACTCTACAATTCAGCATGCATACAATGTAATGGACAGTACCTATTTCAAGAGAGTTTTGCGTTTATAAGTAGTTTGTATGGAAGCCAAGAATGGCTGTGTTTGCAATTGTTTTATAATGCCTTTTTCTTGAGCTCATGAGTTTATTATTTAGTTGTCTTGACAAACCTAACTTGGTTACCTGGAGATAACAAGTTAATCACAAAAAGGTTGTTTGCTCTTGTTAGGCTACCCCTTGGGGTTTAGACCAGGAGTGCCATGCCAGCATGCAGAGATGGTCTTAACAACTGTATCAACTGATTTAAAGGAGCTGTATGCAACATTAAGAACATTAAAATAGAAGCAACTGTTTTCCATGTGAAGATAAGGAGGGGTAATGGTGTCCTGACCAGAAAATAAAGTCACGCCCCCTCTCCAATGCACTCACCTATAATAACAATGTATAGCAGTTATTTCTGACACCACAGGCATGGGGCCAAGGCCTGGCAATGAAATTACCAAAAGTGCATTTGGCACACTTCTACACACTGTTGGCAGGACTGACTGCGATCTAGCCATGTTGCTTGGTCCTTAGAGCCCACGGTATCCTCCTGTGCTAACAAAGGCTTTGTGACTCTGAGGCACAAATGCCTGAGAGTGGGAAGACAAAAAGTCTTGTTATTTCCCACATTGCTCCAGTGCTTGATAGTGACATCACTCCAGTTAGAGACTACAGATGGAATAGATACCTGCTGCCTTCAGATGGCTGTAAAGAGAGTCATGAGTGTAAAGGAAAGGCCCCAGTATAGTACTGAGGCGCACCAGAGAACATGACTGTTGATCACTAATGGGTGCTCCTTGATCTGATCATTTCAGTTTAAATCAGTTGCTACAGTTGTCAGGACACCATCTATGCATACAGGTGTAGCGGACAGAAAACATTTTTTGAAATTTTTGTCTTGTAATATGTGTTTCATTGCAGAATGTCTACTGGCTGTTAGCAGATGTACTGCATTGCTTCCAGCCTCTCGTGTCTGCAGTGAACCTGGCTGCAGAAAGTATGCATTTTGCAGTGCAATTATTAACCAAAAATAACAGTTCTAATGTTGTTTTAAGTGCATAGAGCAGGTAATTAATTCATAATGTCATCAGGGAAGACAAAATGAGTAGTTTTCTGTTGGGCATTTTACCTGTTTAGTGAGTTCTCAGAGACTGAGTAAACTAGCTACACACATTTTTCCTGTGTGGGATATACATTTAAGCTAGTCTTTTCCTCATGTTAGGTGTGTTGTTGCGAAGATAGAATATGTATGACAGTGTCATTACAGGAATAATCCAGAGATTGACACCAGTGTCCAGTGTCTGATTGTACACCAGAACACAACACGGTGTGGTCGGGATCTGCAGACCGTCCCTGCCACAAAGTCATGGCACTCCTGTCTGCCTGTCCAAAGTGGATCCAGTCTTTCAGCCTGAAAGATGATGGTGCCTCTCTGATTTGTTTTCCCCTGCTGTCTGACTACGCACTGTCTGCCATTTTCCCCCTATACGTTTCTTCTTCACAACTTAGTTAACTTCCATACACTGTACCCTCATTCATTTGATAAGCGCCAGCAGGAGAAGTTATGTAGTTGTGACTCTGGTGAGTCAAATTGGCAGGGGTTTTAATAAAAATATCAATATTTGGCAGCAGTGTATTGATGACGTATTAAGAGACAGTGATACAATATATTTCCAAATCAATATTTTGTCCCATGCCTAGTCAGCATGATGAGTGTAAGTCCAATCTTAACTGTTTTAGCTCTGTTTTTGGTCTCTACCAGCTCCTGAGGGAGATATTTGGCTCTTTAGCTGCTACATGCTCCAATGTGTTCACCAGCTTTTTTTTTTTACTGAATTGTGGGTCAAACAGCGAAACAACATGCTAAAGCTTACAATAAAGCTCCTCAAATCCAAGGAGAGCTGCAGATTCAGCTGATAATTCTATAGGTACACTGTAAAAAAAAATGTAGCTTGAATTAGTTCATTTATAACAAAATATGTGACCACAATTTATGCATCGTTAACAAATGAATTGGTACAGAATGTAAAAGAGAGATTGCACTCATATCCACCTATCAGAAACAATTAGTTTTATATCAAAACAAATTGAACATAAGAAATTTACCTCATGGAATCACCTGTCTCGGCCCAGGTTTACCGTGACCTTCATATTCCATACACACAGGATCAAGTGCTTTATAAATGAAATGTTTATTGAATTATTACCTACATTATTTGCCTGTTTAGTAGTTCAGTAAATGATGAATAAATGATTAATAACTGAGCACAATGAATACAACAAAGAACAATGTATGAATAAAAGTGGACTGTTGTGAGGACCAAGTAGATCTGTAAGTCCTTGACGCTGGCTGGTTAAATTGATTTAAGGGATTAATGCAGTGTTGAGTAGTTGAGAGTTAAACAAGCACCTGGGAAGAATGTGATGCAATCAAATGTTTATTGTGATTTTAGGGGAGATGCTAGTTTAGGTCCAACACTCATTTATTTCTTAAGTCTAGCATCAACTCATTATCACATGGGAGATTTACTGCTTCACTTTACAATTCCAATGGACAGATGAGAAGTTACGCTGAAGGCAATAACAGTAGGCTTTTTCAGCGCTCTGGCATTTATGGACATTGTCGGCTCCAACGTGGTGAACTCCTCTTGAATCGATTTCTTAATCTCTTTCGCTCTCTCTCTTTCAGCAGGCAGCTGGAGCATCTTACAATCCCCCCTTTTGGTTAGGGTGTAGTCTTTGTTGCAGAGTTTTGTAGAACTCATTCAGTTCAGAGCATCTTTTAGGGTCTATTTGTTTGAAAGGTTACTGGATGCTGGCCCTCGGCATGTTTGTGCAGAAGTGGTTCAGCAGAGTTGCGGTTAGTACTTCCCCGCAGGCAGTGTAGTGGTAATTGATGTGGTGGGTGTACTATTAGGTAGATGGGTCCGTTTCAAAGGAGGAAGTGGGTATACTATCCTATATATTCCAAGGGCTTTTTGGCTGATAGTTGGGTGGACTGTTAACAGTCAGAAAAAGAGGTAGGTTAATGCCATATACCTATGTATACCCTCAACCAAACCACTGCCCACTGGCATAAACGATGGCTCAGAAGAGCAGCAACAGGAACAAGAGAAAAGTCAGGAGATATTAAGACAAGAAAGGAGAGTGATCTGTTGGGTGTTTACTACTTTCAGACTTCTGCACAGGGGTCCGGTGTCACAAGCTTGAAAAACTAACCACTCCCAACAGTAAATTTTTTGGGGGTTTTATAGAATTCCTATAATACTGCTTCACACATTTATGTCTTCTGTAGTTGAAAGTTGGGTTCTCTCACCTGTGGAATGTTACCATACACCTGGTAAATTAGATTAAAAAGGATTGAACTCCTAGATGGCAATCAGTTTATGACAAGTTATTATGACACCTGAGGTTTTGTAAACATTAAAACAGGCACCTATATATGTATACAGACATAGTAGGTGTACCTATATGCACAGTTAATGACTGGATGAACTGAACTCAACACTTCAAGGCAAGTTATAGTGATCTTCAGGAATTCAGACAAGAGGAGGACTGTGTGTGAGTATAAGGAGGAAAAGGGAGTACAACAGCATCACAGACTCCACTTATAATAACATCAACATGTTGACACAAAACTTCCTTTTCTTAAAGTATGTTATGAAATAACATACATTTTATTCTGTATGAAAAGGTACATTTCCTTCCATCCTTTTTTCAGTTTGGGGGTGTGTCCCCTGATTAGAAAGGTGTTTTCACATTCCTCTGAAGAGAGTTGTCTGTGCACTCCCCAAAAATCTGAGATTTACACATACTCCGGGCCAGCTAGGTTAGGTATGTCACTAATTCTAAAGCCAAGTGCTGTCTAATATAGGAAACACTTTTCAAAGGGGGAACAGACTTCCAACACAACACTGCCAAACAAACCTGAAACCTCCAGGTGCCTTATATAAAAATCTCAACCAGAGGCAATATATCTCTCTGGAAACTTTAGTTAGACGTCTGATATGTAATTACAATAATAGCAATGTGAACACACTGTAACATCAAAGAAGATATTATTGTATGTTTCACAGCCACTAACACTGTATCTGCTACTGCCAGTTAGCCTACAAGCTAAGAAACAAGCTCAAATACAAAAACCTACAGAACCTAACAATCACAGGTGAGATGTTAAGGTATGACTACAGTAATAGAGTGGGGTTCTTCTCTTTGGAATGTGTTATGCGGCTGGTATGGGTCTGTCATCTGCTCAGAGTCAAGAGCATCATACAGTACAGTCATAATTTGTCTTTTCACTCGGTTCCTCAGAGCTGGGTTTCGTATCCTCTTCAGTTCCATTGCAACGGTGACACCAAACGCATCCTCGCAGTCTTTCAGTGGTTCTCTGCTGGTCTCCTGAAAGACATCTACAATGTGCTGCAACAAGGCGAGTTTCTGTCTCTCCTTGTCAGTTCTGTTTGGGGTTTTGGTCTGGTTGTTGGCCAGCTGAGGAGGAGGAGGTGAAACAGAAGAGCTCTCTGTGGGTGAAGATGACGCCCCACCATCGAGGTCCTGGGACAGTACTGTGTCCTCTGGCTCGCTGTCACTGCTGTCCTGCAGTGTCTTCAACGAATCTTTGATCAGTTGGTCAAACTGGAACACAGATTACATGTAACTTTGACTTTTTTAAACTGTAGAAAGGTACTGCACACACACCAATTACCAGGGGATATTTTAGTGGTAACACTCACTTTGCTTTCAATAGGACGATGGTTGATATGTTTTCTGAGGAATTCGCAGGACGTGAGGATCATCCTCTGCCTCCCTGTTATGGGTTTCTTCTTCCTCCCAGAAGCCAGCGGCTTTACCAGTCTGGAATACTGAGTTCGCAGTGAGGTGGCCCTTACCTTCACATCCTCAACTGCAAGCCACATAAAAATTTGGTTATTTAAGACGACACACAAAGAAAACAAAGCATCTACCCACACATTAAAGTTTTTTTTTAAAGCTGTAAATAACAGCTACATAAGTCACTCTGATTGTTGATTGGGTGGTCAGTTGGTCCACAAAAATTTCCCCACCCTTTGGCAGCCACGGGTTTTTCCCTTTTAAGGTGCTGTTGAAATCACATTATTAGATGTCGCACTCCCCCTTTCCCCTTCCATTACATTGACACCACCACACTGCTGTTGCTCAAAGGACAAGTGGTTCCCAGTTCCCTGCACAACCTGCATATTTCATGGTCGTGTGGACAGGCTGACTCAATCATGTGAACTGATGTATCTTTTGTGGGAAAGTAATGACTTCATATTGCAACTACGACATTATAACTATATATTATATACTATACATTAGAGTTCCCGTTTTCCCAGTCCGGTCTGGTGTACGAGCTTAAGACAATATTTTTTTATGCAATCTGGCTGAGCCTGCATTCCTCATTATAACATACTCTGGCAAATTAAAAAGTAGCCTACAGCAACCTGTACTGACTTTACTTAAAGGTTTGTGTGGGTTTTTTTGGGTGACAAGACAAGACATGTCAGAGTTAGTCTCTTAACAAAACTAAAACTGCGCCAAAATGGCAACATTTTGGATTCAAAGCCGATAAAAAAGGTGTCCCAGCTGACTGCAAGTGAAGCCCCACGTTATTTTCTATATATATAAATGATACTGCTTTTTCTGTTAAGAACTCATCTATTCACCTTTATGCTGATGATACAGTCCTTTATGTTGTTGTTCCCTCTCCAGATGCAGTACTCACTTCACTTCAGGACAGTTTTTTCAGGGTCCAACAAGCTTTCTCCACCCTAAACCTTCTGCTAAACACCACTAAGACCAAGGTCATGTGGTTTGGTATAAAAGGTTCTGTGCCCCTCTCAGGCTGAGATATCATAACCCTTTATGGGGCTATCCTGGAGCAGGTCACTGAATACAAATACCTGGGTATCTGGCTTGACAGCACTCTGTCCTCCTCACATCATATCAGTAGGCTACAGTCAAAGGTTAAATCCAAAATCGGCTTCTTGTACAGAATGCGCTCCACCTTTACTTTCTCTGCCAGACTTACTCTTATACAAACAACAATCCTGCCCATGTTCGACTACGGTGATGTTATCTATCGGTGTGCATGCAAGGGTACACTTCAGAAACTTGATGTTCTCTATCACTCTGCGATCCGTTTTGCTACAAACGCCCCTTTCAAAACACACCACTGCACTCTATATTCCTCTGTCAACTGGCCATCCTTACACACCCGCCGTACTCTTCACTGGTCAATGTTTATCTACAAAACTCTTCTTGGTCTGTCACCCCCCTACCTGTGTCAGTTGCTGCAAACTACAACTGCTGTTTACAACACCCTTTCTGCTCACCATGTTCTGTTGAAAGGACCCAAAACAAATACTGCACTTGGTCTGTCATCTTTCCAATCTGCCACAGCCAGAGACTGGAACAATCTCCAAAAAACACTGAAAATGGACAAATTTATCCCCAAGTCAGCTTTTAAGAACTCTATTATGGACATTTTTACTGACACATGCAACTGTTTCCTGACACACTAGATGCCCTCACCCCTGTTTGTCAGCTGTTAATATTTGTTGTCATATGTGTCATATGTTGCCCATCTTTAATATGTTGTGATTGTATATCAGTGGTGAGTGTGTTGTAAATGTTTGTGTTGTTGTTGTTTTTTTTTTAAAGATATTTTTTTGGGCATTTTTAGCCTTTATTTGACAGGACAGACAAGTGTGAAGGGGGGAGAGAGAGGGGGAGTGACATGCAGCAAAGGGCCACAGGCTGGATTTGAACCCGTGCCGCTGCGACAACAGCCTTGTACATGGGGCGCCTGTGTCACAGAGTGACCAGGAGAGAATTGTTGTGTGTGGGATTTCATTGTATTTTCAGTTTGCAGTGTCTGTTTTCTCTTTTTGACTCAACTGAAATCCACCAGAGCAAATCATGTCTCCTGGGCCTAGAGGACCTCCCCCTACAATTTAGTGCACCTGCAGATAATCACTAATCAGGAGAGGCTGTTTAAAATCACCTGCACCAAAACTGCGCTAGGCCCCGGCAGAGCAGAGGAACGGCAGGAGGAAGTGGACGCTACACGGTGTGTTCGGCGGAGGCAAGGCTGTTGGCTGGGTGGAGGATCCAGCATAAGCGGGAGAGGCGAGTAAATATCACATAAACAATTGAATGCTTTGTGCTGTGGAACTTGTGGCACTTCACCTTTTCCTCTCCCTGAGGTGGACACCAAGCTGACTTGCCAGCTGAGCAGACTGAATTGGCATGCTGTATACCGCCGGCCGCAGTGGAGGAGCCGGACAGCGCACAAGGCCAGGGCCGTAACCACGCCATCCATACTCCTTAGCCACCCCAGCCAACCGCCACCCCAGCCTTCTTACCCTCCTGGACTTCACCCCTGAACCCAAGACTGCTAAGCAGGTTTCTTTATTGAGTTGGCCAACAACAAAAAGAAAAGGAACTTTATTGTGCCCCCCCCCCC